AGAGAGAGAGAGAGAGAGAGAGAGAGAAAGAGAGAGAGAGAGAGAGAGAGAGAGAGAGAGAGAGAGAGAGAGAGAGAGAGAGATGCAGCACAAAATGTAAAGGTAGTGTGATGCTGGTTGGGATAGGACAGCTCCAGCAGATTGCTTCTGAAAAATATGCATGGTCTAGTTCAGCCTGCAATGTGATTCTTGTTTTTTCCTTCAAATCTGAACAAGTTTGCATGATAATTTTTATTTTCATAGGCAGGGAAAGGAGTTTCAGCTACGAACCAAAAGATTTAAATCTTAGACACATTGTGGTCCGGATCATCTTTATTTCTTCTTTCCAAAGAAAGCAGGTCTCTATGGTCTCGACTCCATCTCCATTTTGGGGACCATCAGTCCGGTACCTTTTGCCTCGGTATAAATGTACAGCATTTTCAGATTCACTCTTCCTTCCAAAGGGCCTAAGGAACCCTGACCAGAATCCATGAATATATTTCTTCCTTCCAAAGGGCCTAAGGAACCCTGACCATCTCATTTTTTTTCCTTTAAATTTGCGTTTTACAGTAAATCCATGAATATATGCCCACTCACCTCTTGTTCCCTGTTCCTTGGGACAATCCTTCTACGCTGGTTCATGCATGTGTCAAAATTGCTTGGTGATATCTTGTTATGTAGGCACTGTTGGTCTATCGGTGCAAGGCTCTTGGCATTGCTGCTGCGAGCACACTCATCGGTAGATGCAGTTTCACATTCAACCCGAGCACCCTCTTTCACAATGCTGCTGGCGGCGAACAGTAAACAAAAAGGACGACGGCAGGATCCCAACCTGAGTCGTCAGGCCTAAAGTCCTTTCACCTTGTGCACCCACCTCCATTTCTTTGCATTCGAAAACTGAAAAATAAATAAATGAAAAATAATTGTTTCATAATCAACAACAAATCTGCAATAAAGGAATAATCAAGGCGCTGCCCCGATACCTCGCACCCCTCTTGGGAGATTTCCTGCTGCCGGCATGGCAGGTGCTATACCAAGCTTTCATCTTGGACACTATGTTCCGTTTGCTCATGCTCACATGTCGAACCGCCAAGCATCTGCTTCTCATCGCGTAGATTGGCATGCACACCTGCAGTGGAATACTAACTTGTATTCTGCAGGAGGGTGGCGCAAGAAACAACTCTGTCGTCTTAACAATGTTGTGCAGGCAGAGCGTTTTGAGTTGCAACTGCGAGGCGTTGATCAACAACCTCTTGAATCAGGTATGGACCCCCTCACTGCTCGAGGAGTGATTTATGCAATTGTTCATTGCCTTTGGGACGTTTTTATGTTGAACAGACGATGCATTCTGCACACCTACGGCTGCAAGAGCATTGGCATACACGGCGCTCTTCTGCTGTTTTTCGCCATCGCCATCTCTACCGCGCAATGTGAAGACAACCAGCACTCAACTTTGTGGCTTGGCCCTCGGAATGCATCAATCCTACCCTTTATCATACATCTAGAGGTCTTGCTGATCATGCCCTCTTTCGGTGGGCTGCTGCGCCTCGCGAGGGTTTTTGGGTTGGGAAACTTTGAACGCTTCACCCCGTCGGTTTCAATGCAGTCCTTCCAATGGCTAGACTGTCATCTCCACGAAGACACTTTCGCCCTCATCGCTGGCCCTTGCCCGTTTGTTCCTCAGTCTCCTTCTGCTCAGCCCCCTCCTGCTCCATATGTTCCTGCATCAATTGATCCTTGGAATGCATTGATCCTACCCTTTATCATACGTCTGGAGGTCTTGTGGATCATGCCCTCTTTCGGCGGGCTGCTGCACCTAGCGAGGGTTTTTGGGTTCGGAAACTTCGAACGCTTCACCCMGTCGGTTTCAATGCAGTCCTTCCAATGGCTCGATTGCCATCTCCACGACGACACTTTTGTCCTCATCGCTGGACACAAATGGGCCCTTGCAGCTTTGTTCCTCAGTCCCCTTCTGCTCCACCTGTTCCTGCATCAACTGATCCTTCTCACACAACACCCCTTTTGCCAACACTCGTTGGCTCTCATGCTGCACCTCTTTTGCCAACAGTGCCCAACACCATCTCACTCTTTACCTCTCTTGCCAACACCTTCGATTAGGTCATTTGTTGTTGATCTCCATCCGGGTCCCCAACTCATAATTTGTACCTCACTGCATCCCTTCTCAATGAAGCTACTTTGGGTAACTAGTGTCGTGTCAAGGTTGACATTGAGCACGCGATACCAGCATGGCGGGCACGACTTTTGCAATGGCTTTATAAAAATTTCTCCAATGCGGACATGACAATAGACATTCGAGAACTCGAGTGCCTCATCCGAAAATCCCAGCATACCCGCCAACGATACACATCACAACCTCGTGACCCATTTACTGACCATATTAAGGTCGTACATGCGCATCAGGTAGTTTGTGCTACGAACTTGCGCCATGTGTTGCAGTTGTCGGAAGTAGTTGCATTGCACCCCGACCCTCAAGCGGCCACGCATGTTCGTGTATGTGACAAGCTGATGCCATCCACACGTATCCAGTTTTGCAACTTCACTGACGTGGCCTTGAGTGTTACTCCTGGCATCACCTTACCAGACTCCTCGAACTGCGAATATTGCAGAGCCTTTCCGCATTGTTCTGATCTTGTGGATCGCCATATTGTGTTTGTTGACTCCAATATCATCTCAGACGATAACCTTCGCAAGCTTTTTCAAGAAGGTTCTAAATATCGTTTGAACGGGGAGACTACTGATGTGCTCCAAGCACTGGCAATCGGACTTGACGACTACATTGCCAACTATAAAAGAATGTTGGCCAGACACTCTCGATCTGCTTCTTTCTCGTCTCTTTCCCAAAAGTTGAACAACTGGCGTTGTGCAATCCTTGCGCATTGTCAATCCAATGCGTCTGTGTCTTCCAACCATGTGAGGCCACCACGTTCACTTCGTTCTACAATGCCTCCTTGCCCCATTTTCAACAACACTTTGTCATTGTTCTTGTAGCCAAAGCATCCCACAAATTGGCAATTTGCTGCAAGAATTGGTATTTGTTTCACCTTCCTACCCATTTAGACAGTCCCGCTTATACTTGTCCCCATGAGTCCGTTGCTGATGTCCTTGACCGTCATGCAATATGGAATCATCATTGGGGTTACACCCACATTGATACCTTGCCTTACCTTTACTATGTGATCAAAGCTCACAAGTTTCCTCCAGCTCTTCACAGCATTCTTGGAGTCAAGACACAAAATAACAGTGTTGTCCCCCCACGCACTCGCCCTCGTCCTACAATTCGCACCATTCATGAACGACCTCCTCGCAAACTCCTGGCTAACACAACGACTACTTCGTCGTATCTCAACGTTGCTTTGCAAGGAGTGATCTCTACTCTTCGCGAGAAAGACACTGAGCTCTATGAACAGGTTGGTGTTCGACGGTGTTGGATCATCCAGAGTGCCCATGAGGTGATGATTGACCTGAAAAACAATGCATCCTCTCTTCCCGACCTCTCTCCTCGCACGGTTGATTTYACCACAATGTACACCAACCTTCCTCATGACCGCATTCTAAATAATGTGGCAAAAGTTGTTGATGAAGCCCTTGGTTATGCCCTTCAACATACTCGCACACATCCGTGCTGCAGAGCCCTGAACATGGTTATTCGAGGACCTCACTCTGGCAAATGGACAACCGATTCAGGCCCATACACCCTTTTCGTCTTTCATATTCTCCAACATCTTTGCTTTGTTGCACGAAACACTTTTTTGTATACTTAACATGACACTTTTCGAAAGCAAATCATTGGTATTCCAATGGGAACAAATAATCATCCAGAAATTTCTAACATGAGCGCTTTATTGGGATGAAGCACGCTTTGTTGATGACATTCGTCAACATGATCTCCATGCCGCTTAGCAATACACCTTCACTTATCGCCTCATTGATGATATTTTTTCATGGGGGCAATTACCTCCTCTCCTTCAGAGCACGATGGACTTGAGTGGAAGGAAAGTACGGCGGCATATGGCTCGTGTACCTTTTTAGGCATGCATCTACGGATACGTTCTCATGGCTTGCTTCGCATGAGCGTGTTTGATAAAGCGGTTGCTTGGGATTTCCCTGTCATTCGCTATGCAAGTGTTACCTCCGGCATACCTTCCCATCAACCGACAAGTATGTTCACTGGCAATTGATCAGATTTGAACAAATCTGTAACAATTGGCATGACTTTTAAACTGCGGCGACAACACTTACTCATCGCATGCTTTCTTGTGGGCATTCCCCACCAACCCTTGCTAAAGGGTGGACCTGCTACATGCGCTCCCACCAACGTCGCTATCCTACGCATGTGACACGTCTTTCTGAGTGGTTCCGATGCATGTTGTGATGCTCCCTGCATCATCCACTTTCTTCTTTGCCCCCACGTCGCTCTCGTCTTGTCCCTGCTTGTTCAGCAGCTGCTATTGCAGTTTCCACTGTTGCACATCCCACTGTTGTGGTTTCCACTGCTTCGGTTTCCACTGCTGCGGTTTCCACTGTTGCAGTTTCCACCGTTGCAGTTTCTACTGCTGTTGTTTCCATCGCTGCAGTTTCCATCGCTGCAGTTTCTACAACTCCGGTTTTCACTCCGACAGTTTCTGCTTCGGAAGTTGTCTTTGCTGCAGTTCCTGCTGTAACTTCCTCTGTTGTTGTGATAGGAATTCCCTGTACTATACTTTTTGTTGCTACAGCTTCCTCTGCCCCAGCTCCGTCACAAAGAAGCTCACAGTCTCTCCGACACTCGAGTAGTACCCCTCTTTCATCCCTTTCTATGCTTGGTCGCAGA